TTTCAAACAAAAAAAGGTAAATAATTATATTTTCATTGATAGTTGAAGGAAGTTGGTACCGCTATATCTTAATTTTAGTCCAAATTGAAATATGATGTAAACCTACCTATATAGCTAATTAGATAAGATAATTTATGTCTCTATCATTTTAATAGCACCTGAAACATGAATACATCTACTCAAATGCTTATTTGTTACGTTTTTCAACGCCAGGTATCGATAATTAGGGGAAAGCGGTAATTAGTTGGATTTCTTTTTATTAAAACTGCCTATACTTAATTATACATCATTATTTATTAAGAGTTATTTAAGTGCTCATCGACCTGGTAAAATACTATTTTTTCTGAATTTATTGTAATGATTTATACCAATGGGTAGGTATTTTCTATCACGCATGCTTTTTTTTTAACTTCCTTTGTGCATTTATTTAAAAATATTTTCATTGTCATTTCATTGGTACATTTTTAACAAAAACTTCCCATTATCTTAGCCTTCACTTTATTTATTGTAATTCATAAATCAGTATTGAACCTTGTACCCTTGTACTTAAGTTCTATATAGGAGCAACAAACTTCTGTTTTAATGTATTTTGTGCGTGTCCAAATAATTTCCAAACTATAAATAATGTAGGTATGTACCTACTTTCATATAACATATTGTTCATTTAATAAGTTTTTCCTATAATTGCCCATACATTCTTGGTTTTAATTTGTAGACTCAAGATGTACCTATTTTTAAAAACCTCCAACAGGTTTAAAATTATAATAAGTCACATAAAATTTATGAGGGTTTTGAAAACATGTTTGTTTTAAGCAAAGTGAGTCAATCACAGACGAAGCTTTGCTAAACAATAAATAAATTTATACCAGAATCTCACAATAGAAATGTGATAAATTGATATAAACAAACTTTCCCAAAATATTTAAATAATTTCCTTATCAAAATATTGTGTTGTTTTGCTTGATAATTATTTGTAATTTAAATAATAAAGTCAACTTTCTATAATCTTCATCAACATCTGTATCCTTCAACAACCAAAATTTACAAATTTCTCCCACAATACTATTTATTCTGCAAGTCTATCTGTACCCATCTACTTATTGGACTCTGAAGCAAGGATATTCTCATTTTCAGGTCTTTCTTAGATGTCTAGCCACTAAATGGTCAAAATTTGTGAGAAAACTGGCTTTCTTTCAGCTCTTTCTATTGAAATATCAAGAAAAATGCCCAAAATAAGTATAAATTTGCATTTCAACGACATAATGGTTATACAGATCTTTTGGTAGACGTATTTTTGGTCCAAATGACATTTAAAAACCACAAAATTTGAGTTTATCCTAAAAATCCTTAATTTTCTTCTATTGAAATATCAAAAGAAGATATCCAAAATGAAATTGGAACTTCAAATACTTGAACTGTTAATGTTCCACATTTCAAAAACATGTCTGAAAAATGTTTCAGCAATTAGCAATAGCTTCATTTTGTGAACTAAATATTACGTTCCGCCTATTGATAAATTAAAACCCTATCAATATTGAGAACCGTTAAAGTGAAACCACGAAAATGGTCTTTAATTTATTCAAAAATGATACAAATTGAAAACGCTTCTATTATAACCTTTCGCGGCTGTGCCATGGCATATACACACCGAAAAGTAAAAGTATGCATTTATTTCACCCATGATGGTTGGTACCAAGCGGTACCGAGGATTCCATATTTTCTGTGCCGTTGGTACCCGTTATTGCCGCGTATTTTTTCAAACAGGTGAAATCTATATCATCAAAGAACTTTGAATTTTGAACATAATAAGTACCATTTACCTGAAAATAGGATATTTTATGCTAATAGTATCGCATAAAAAGAGGTGGTACCATAGTATATACTGTAGTGGCAACATTGTAAACGGTAATTCCAATACATATGAGTCAGCGAAGCCTACTACCTGTGCGAGGAAGAATGCCTTGGTGGGTCTTCTATAGTCAGTTCCTCGACATTTACATAAAATTTATATTTTTTATTTTTGACAGTTTGAAGATAAATTGGCGTAATAACTATTTGAGCAAGACGCTTGGCAGTTTTTTTATTGGCTTTCTAATGGTTTTTTTGTTTAAAAGGAAGGAAATATAGTTATATAATTAATAATGGTTATGGTAGACAAAAGCGTGATTTAATTGAAGATAAATTAAGACCTGACCCAAGATCCATTTCAGTTTTTATCCAGTTTATTTCCAATTTTGCAACAACCGACTATATTTCTTTGAATTCTCTGACCTATAATGCCTTGTAACCTTCCACTTCTATCTTCATGGACTTATAAGTACCTACTTGAAATAGGTACCTGCCTGGGAACTTTTTAATAGTATACTTTTTATGAGGTTTCTTATCTTTATAGTCTAACGAGGGGTACCTGTTCAGTTGTGGTAATACCTATTTTTTAGTGTACACTGGCTGGTGCTTTTTCTTTTGTGTAGTTTGATGTTTGAGAAGGGGTTCTTTCTTTTTTAAAACCACATGAAGTTTGAATGGCTAACACATATGGCTTGCGGTAGTGCAAATTTTATATTCATTTCAAAACCTCAAAAGAAGACGAAATTAGAACATTATTTTTCCTTTGTTTCCAGCCATTGTCGACACAAAAAATAATTACAAATCGATTCCTATAAGTATTTATCTATTATTTAATTTGATTTTTCCGATAACTATCAAGTCCTTTGAATTGACCTACTTGTTACTCTTTAATTTCAATTAAATTTTCAATGCATCCATATTAATTGAGTCATTCAAATCAAAATGTAAATCAAAACATAATAAATTATTGTTACAACTGGTTATGAGTTGTATTATCTCACGCCGAAATTCTACATTGTTGTTACATAGGTACTAAAGTTTTGTGGTATTTTGTAATTATTATTGTTTTTTGCGGGATTTTTATTGTTTAGAATCAGTAGCGTAGTTGTAGATTACTATCGTCAAAATCGAGTAACTAAAGAGTTATTCTAGAAAGCGAATAGTTTTCAACAAAGTATCAGGATGTTGCTTCAAACTTTTTTGGGCTAATTTTATCGAGCTACGACGTGTCCCAATATTCTTGTAGATTTTTTTAAAGGATGTTGATTGAGAAGAGCTCTGGACAGTGGCTTCATCAGAACACACTTTTGGATATAAAGGAAAGATTGAATTTTTTTTAAAATAAAAGATTTATATCTAAACTTGCTCTCCTTAAATAATTTGTAGTGAAGCTGTATTGGGTGCAAAATGATGGTCAGGAATTGAAATTTGATACTGTTCTAGTTCAATTTCTACTCTAGGAGAGCCAGGAACAGAATTCAAATTCAAATTCAGCTCCAAGGGTATCAAAAATGAATCTTTTTGTCTTTGGATGGTCGGAAATTAGAGTTTGATATTCTAGGAGAGCCTAAAATAGAATTTTTATTCATCTGAGTTGAATCTTTTAGCTCTGTGAGGGTGCAAAATAAGTTCATTCTCAAACCGCTCTATTTCAACTGTAACTCTAAAATGGTCTGGAATCGAAATTTGATTCTTTTCCAATTCAATTTCTACTCTAGGAGAGCCAGGAACAGAATTCAAATTCAAATTCAGCTCCAAGGGGATCAAAAATGAATCTTTTTTGTCTATGGATGGTCGGAAATTAGAGTTTGATATTCTAGGAGAGCTTGGAATAGAATTTTTATTCATCTCAGTTGAATCTTAACTCTGTGAGGGTGCAAAATAAATTCATTCTCAAACCGCTCTATTTCAACTGTAACTCTAAAATAGTCTGAAATCGAAATTTTATACTTTTCCAGTTCAATTTCTACTCTAGGAGAACCCGGTACAGAATTCAAATTCAAATTCAGCTCCAAGGGGATCCAAAATAAATCGTTTTGTCTTTGGATGGTCGGAAATTAGAGTTTGATATTCTAGGAGAGCCTGGATTAGAATTTTTATTCATCTCAGTTGAATCTTAACTCTGTGAGGGTGCAAAATAAGTTCATTCTCAAACCGCTCTATTTCAACTGTAACTCTAAAATGGTCTGAAATCGAAATTTGATACTTTTCCAGTTCAATTTCTACTCTAGTAGAACCAGGAACAGAATTCAAATTCAAATTCAGCTCCAAGGGGATCAAAAATGAATCTTTTGTCTTTTGATGGTCTGAAATAAGAGTTTGATATTCTAGGAGAGTTTGGAATAGAATTTTTATTCTTTCCAGTTGAATTTTAGCTCTATGAGGGTGCAAAATAAATTAATTCTCAAACCGCTCAATTTCAACTGTAACTTTAAAATGGTCAGGAATCGAAATTTGATACTTTTCCAGTTCAATTTCTACTCTAGGAGAGCCAGGAACAACAACTTTCACTGTTTCTCTACTTCAAATTCAGCTTCAAAAGGATCAAAAATTAATCTTTTTGTCTTTGGATGGTCTGAAATTAGAGTTTGATATTCTAGGAGAGCCTGGAATAGAATTTTTATTCTTTCCAGTTGAAATTTAACTCTATGAGGGTGCAAAATAAGTTCATTCTCAAACCGGTCTATTTCAACTGTAACTCTAAAATGGCCAGAAATCGAAATTTGATACTTTTCCAGTTCAATTTCTACTCGAGGAAAGTCCGGAACAACAATTTTACTGTTTTCTACTTCAAATTCAGCTTCAAGGGAATCAAAACTGAATCTTGTTGTCTTTGGATGGTCTGAAATTAGAGTTTGATATTCTAGGAGAGCCTGGAATAGAATTTTTATTCATCTAATCTCTATGAGGGTTATTCCAACCAAAAAAGAGAAGCAATACATAAACAAAACTCAAGAGCCTGTAATAAACAAAAAATTAATATGTAATTCAACATTGAATATTCTGTTTCATAAACCAATCAAGCTCATATATATAGGTATCCTCCGCCACTGCAAATTTCTGCCGCCCACAAAACCTAAAATAGCCGGCTAAAAAATTCACATTCATTACCATAAATGTTTCAACACGCACCGCGATTTCAGAACCTCCGTATGATGTCACCCATTCATGCCGCCTCAGTGGTACCCGATGGTACTTCGAACACGCATTTCGTACTGACACCGGCGCCCAGCACTGGATCCAGCAACGACAGTAACGCATCTAGCAATCATAGCAACGGCGAACAACGAAGTCAGTGTTCTAGTTTATCGGACGGAGAGAATTTTGAGTGGAACGGTGACAAGGAGGAACCAGAACATGATGCAAATAGGAGTTTTGGAGGGTGAGTACCTATCCATAATTGCGGTGGGAAAATGTAGGTATATTAAGCTAGCCATTATATAAGTATTAAATAATACGCAATTATAATTATGTTATAAAGCTCCGATATATTTAAGGCATAGGTAAAACCATTTCCTGTGTGGAAATTAATTTCTTAGGCGTGAATTTAAAGCAGTATAGTCTTTTCCTATATTCAATTGAAGCTCGTTGCATATGACAGCGTACCTAATCAAGGTAAAATTAAATTGTAATTGAAAAAAAGTGGAAGTGATTCACCTTGATACTGATTAATTATATAATTTCCATTTTCCTGGTGTGAAAATTTGTTGCATTCTAGCATTAAATAGACTTTTCCTTATATTACAGATTAACTGAAGGAAAAAGCCCATTGCACATTAACCGAAATACTTGGCTCAGAACTAGTTTAAGAAGATCATCTCCCAAGTAAGTACCTAGTCACAATTTTCTATGTTAACCAATGATCTCAGGCAGGCACTTAATGCGTCATAAAGTCTAAAACAAGGTTTTTTTTTTCTGTTAGTATAAATTTAGTTTAAATGAAGGCGCGATGTGTCCTGTGACTAATTATTGAACAACACTCCCAAATAGTGTAATGTCACAATCTAAATTTGTATTATGTGTTTTCCAGCAATCCTGATTCGTTGCCAAACAGAAGATGGGGCTCGTTCAGACAGTAAGTTTTTGTCTAAGTATACGTAATTGGACTATTTATTAATATAAACAGAAATAGTCTTTAGGTTTTAATTTCCAAGAAGTGGTAACTTACTTAATTAAGTCATAAAGGAATTCAAACATACCTACTAATGAAAAATTAGGTTCTCACATCTATATTTGAAAAAGCATTATTGAGAAATTTCTAGCAATTTCATCTATGATACTTGATGTAAACTACTTCCAACCATCATGGTCCATTGAAACTTCAAAAATACATTTATTACAGTTTCTTCAATAAATTTAAACTATAACCACAACTAAGTACATTTGAAGCTCAGAAGCTCATGGATTTTAGGGCATCTAAAAATGTATTATCTTTTTTTTTTCTAGCAATGGAAGGAGATCTCAGACTTTAGGATCAAACGCTCTAGCCAGGTAATCAGCCCTCTCTTAATTTACTGAAGTTTTATTATTGCTCATTACAAAATAATCATAGGCGCAACTAGGGGGGTGCTTGGGGGTGCTAAGGACCCGTAAAGCAAAAATTAGCACTCCCATTCGGCATCAGGGGCGTACCCAGGGGGGGGGGGCAAGGGAGCATTTGCCCCCCTCAAGACAAAAGTCAATTTTTAATTAATAACATCAAACCACTATCATATATGTACATATCAGGTTTTAAATAAACTCTACATTAAGAAGATTGCTTACGTAAACTCTGTCTAACCAAAGTTGAACGTTGTAGGTCACTTACTCATCCTTGTAACGTAACCATAGAATTCACACGTTCGGACCTATCTTGGTTTGATAAACACAGTGCGCATGCAATAAAGACAGCAGCAAAAAGCAACGTCTGTGATATATTCGAGTAAGTGACCTTCAACGTTCAACTTTGGTTAGACAGAGTTTACCTCCATAATACCACAAGCACTGTCCGTCTTAATGGCCTTGCTCTTCTCAACATTCATACCGAAATATCGGTATCTCCCGATGAGGTATTAGACAAACTAGCTACAGTTAAGAGCCGGTCAAATATAAATATTTAATGTGTTGTTCTAATTTTGTAGTTAAGTTTAATTAAACATTGGTGGTATAAGGTGAAATTTAAATCCTTGTTTTATTTTCGAGACCAGAGCCGTAGGGAGCGGGGGGAAGCCACCCATTTGCCGTTTAAGACGGCGACGCATCCTTGTTCTTTTAATGATTTTAACGACTTCTTGGCAAAAATTGGGCATGGCACCCCTAAAATTTTTTCGGCTACACCGGCTTTCCTCCGGCGGGCCTTTGTTGCCCCCCCAAATGTTTTTTCTGGGTACGCCACTGTTCGACATCCCACCATAGCACTACCTACACTAATATAAAAAATTAGTGCAGTCAAATTATTTATTTTTTTTTGCACTTTTTATACTTACTTACTTACGTCATAATTTAGAAAAAAGTATTTGTCGTTGATTAATTCATAGAGCACGTTCGCAATTATTATTGTTATATGGAATAAAAATTTTCAACCGGAGCCGGTATTACAATATTACCTTAAAATCAAGACTTACCCTAAAATATAGGGTTTTCATGTTATATCTAGGATGGCGTCATCGAACAAGGTCAGACAATGTTGTCAATGTCTATGTTAATTCTATATCTTAAGGTGATATTGAAATACCGGCCTTTAAAAAATCATTGGAGTCCCAAATATACATATAAATTAATTAACGGCGTATTATACAGGGTGTTCCTAAATATCCTGTACAAACGGCAAAGGGTGATTCTTTGTTTTTTTTTTTTTTCATGACTAAAATCTCAAATATGTTCTAGAAAATTGACTTATTTAAGCAAAATTTAAAAAAATTCACCCTCTTACATTTAAATTTTTTTCTGGAAAACTGGCAGAGAGAAAATTTTGAAAATTTTCCAGGAAAAAGAGGAAAGTGAGGAGCTCAATATAGGGAAATTTCAAAATTTTCCAGTGAGAATTCACTCTAGGAAAAATTCTGGGAAATTGACTTTTTCAAGTAAAATTAAGGAAAATTCATCTTCTCACATTTCAATTTTTTTCTGGAAAACTGGTAAAAGAGGAAAATCAGGAGCTCATTATAAGAAAATTTCAAAGTTTTCCAATGGAAAATCGCTCCAAGAAAAATTTTGAAAAAATGACTTTTTCAAATCAAATTAAGAAAAACTTATCCTCTCACATTTCAATTTATTTCTGGAAAACTAATAAAGCAAAGCTTGTGAAATTTTTCCAGAAGGAAGAAGAAAATGAGGATCTCATTATAGGAAAATTTCAAAATTTTCTAGTGAAAAATCACTCCAAGGAAAATTCTGGAAAATTGACTTTTTTAAGCAAAATTCATCCTTTCATGTTTCAATTTTTTTCTGGAAAATTAGCTAAGCAAAAATTGTGAAATTTTTCCAAAAGAAAAAAGAAAGTGAGGAGCTCATTACGGGAAAATTTCAAAATTTCCCATTAAAAAATTCTGGAAAATTGGTCCGGTTTATCAAGACATAGAGCTACAGTAGCGATCATCAACAGTGTTGCCAGTTTATTACAAATGTAGCAAATCTATTACATTTATTAAAGGTTAATTATTTACATCATTAAATTTCCAATAAATCTATTATTATCACTTATTTAACCAAAAATTATTAAAATTAATTAGTTCCGCTTGAAACACTGAGCGCTCGGACCATTTTTCATGTTTTTTTCCTTTTGGTGAGAAGAACAGGGATACAATTTTCCACAATTTTAATAATTTGGCAACACTGCTGATGATCGCTGTTGTAGCGCTACATCCTGATGGACCCGACCATTGACTTTTTGAAGTAAAATTAAGGAAAATTTATCCTTTTATATTTTAATTTTTTTCTGGCAAAAACTGGCAAAGGAAAAATTTCGAAAATTTTCCAGGAAAAAGAAGAAAGTGAGGAGTTCATTATATGAAAATTTCAAAATTTTCCAGTGAAAAATCACTTCAGGAGAAATTCTGGAAAACTGACTTTTAAGCAAAATTCATTCTTTTAATTTTAATTTTTTTGGCAGGAAACTGGCAGAAGGAAAATTGTGAAAATTTTCCAGAAAAAAGAAAAAAGTGAGGAGTTAATTATAGCAAAATTTCAAAATTTTCCAGTGAAAAATCACTCCAGGAAAAATTCTTGAAAATTGACTTATTCAAGCAAAATTAAGGAATATTCATCCTCTTACATTTTAATTTTTTTCTGGAAAACTAGCAAAGGAAAAATTTTGAAAACTTTCCAGGAAAAAGAGAAAAGTAAGGAGCTCATTATAGGAAAATTTCAAAATTCCAGGAAAAATTCTGGAAAATTTTGAAGTAAAATTAGGCAAAATTCATCCTCTCACGTTTCCGTTTTTTTTTCTAGAAAACAAGCAAAGCAAAAATTGTGAAATTTTTTCAGGAGAAAAAAATTAAGTGAGGAGCTCATTATAGGAAGATTTCAAGATTTTCCAGTGAAAAATCACTACAGGAAAAATTCAGGAAATAGGAAAATTGAATTATCTAAGCAAAATTAAGGAAAATTCACCCTTTCACATATTCATTTTCTTTTGGAAAATTGACAATGACCATTGACTTTTTGAAGTAAAATTAAGGAAAATTTATCCTTTTATATTTTAATTTTTTTCTGGCAAAAACTGGCAAAGGAAAAATTTCGAAAATTTTCCAGGAAAAAGAAGAAAGTGAGGAGTTTATTATAGTAAATTTTCAAAATTTTCCAGTGAAAAATCACACCAGGAAAAATTCTGGAAAAATTACTTATTCAAGCAAAATTGAGGAAAATTCATTATCTAACATTATAATTTTTTTCTGGAAAACTAGCAAGGGGAAAATTTTCAAAATTTTCCAGGAAAAAGATAAAAGTAGGGAGCTCATTATAGGAAAATTTCAAAATTCTTCAGTGAAAAATCACTTTAGGAAAAATTCAGGAAAATTGAATTATCTAAGCAAAATTAAGGAAAATTCACCCTTTCACATATTAATTTTCTTTTGGAAAATTGGCAAAGGGAAAATTTTGAAAATTTTCCAGGAAAAAGAGGAAAATGAGGAGCTCATTATAGGAAAATTTCAAAATTCTTCAGTGAAAAATCACTTCAGGAAAAATTCAGGAAATAGGAAAATTGAATTATCCAAGCAAAATTAAGGAAAATTCACCATCTCACATATTAATTATTTTTTGGAAAATTGACAAAGGGAAAATTTTGAAAATTTTCCAGGAAAAAGAGGAAAATGAGGAACTCATTATAGGAAAATTTCAAAATTCTTCAGTGAAAAATCATTCCAGGAAAAATTCTGGAATATTGACTTTACCAAGGAAAATTCATTCTCTCAGATTTTAATTTTTTTATGGAAAACTGACAAATGGAAAATTTTGAAAATTTTCCAGTAGAAAATTACTCCAGGAAAAGTTCTGGATAATTGATTTTTTTAAGTAAAATTAAGGAAGATTGATTCTCTCACATTCAATTTTTTTTTTTTTGGAAAACTGACAAAGAGAAAATTTTGAAAAATTTACAGAAAAAAGTGAGGAGCTTAATACATAAAAATTTCAACATTTTCTACTGGAAAAATCACTCCAGGAAAAATTTTGGTAAACTGACTTATTTAAGCAAAATTCACCCTCTTACATTTTAATTTTTTTTCTGGAAAACTGGCAGAGGGAAAATTTTGAAAATTTTCCAGGAAAAAGAGAAAAGTAAGGAGCTCATTATAGGGAAATTTCGAAATTGTCCAGTGAGAAATCACTCCAGGGAAAATTCTGGAGAATTGACTTTTTCAAGTAAAATTAAGAAAAAATCATCTTTTCAATTTCAATTTTTTTTCGTGAAAACTGGAAAGAAAAGATTGTGGAATTTTTCCAGGAGAAAGAAGAAAATGGGGAGCTCATAATACCTTAATTTCAAAATTTTCTAGTGAAAAATCACTCCAGAAAAAAATCTGGAAAATTGCTTTATTTAAGTAAAATTAAGGAAAATTCACCCTCTGACATTTTAATTTTTTTCGGATAACTATGAAAAGGAAAATTGTGAAAATTTTCCAGAAAAAAAAAGAAAGTGAGGAGTTCATTATAGCAAAATTTCAAAATTTTCCAGTGAAAAATTACTCCAGGAAAAATTTTGGAAAATTGACTTATTTAAGGAAAATTTACCCTCTTACATTTTATTTTTTTTTCTAGAAAACTGGCAAAGGGAAAATTTTGAAAATTTTCCAGGAAAAAGAGAAAAGTGAGGAGCTCATTATAGGGAAATTTCGAAATTTTCCAGTGAAAAATCACTCCAGGAAAAATTCTGGAAAATTGACTTATTTAGGCAAAATTAAGGAAAATTTACCTCTTACATTTTAATTTTTTATTTTGGAAAACTGGCAACGGGAAAATTTTGAGATTTTTACAGGAGAAAGAGGAAAATGAGGAGCTCATTAGAGGAAAATTTCAAAATTTTCCAGTGAAAAATCACTCCAGGAGAAATTTATTTATATATTTTCGGATACCTGAATAAACTCTATTCTAAGTTAAAAAATGTATGACAAAACAATAATTCCGAAGGTGCTCCATGAATTAATCTATGACTTAACTTTTTCTTTAAGTTATGACGTCATCGATGACGTAAGTAAAAACTTTCGTGCCGTGCAACGAACTATATGTAAAACCTATTTTTCAAAAAAAAGGCAAATGATGACGTAAGTACAAACCCTTGTGAAACAAACTTTTTTTTACGCGTCTCATCATCAAAAAAAATAAAAAAAAAGGTGCTGCACCACCCCTCAAATTTGGAGCCTAGTTGCGCTTATGAAAATAATGCTCTCTCATCGTGCTCATTACTTGGTGGATGTTTAATGATTTAACTGGAACAAAGTCTTTTTAAAAGTAATCCAAAACCCTAATATATTGTACAGAAAGAAAATGATAAATGAAAATAATATACTATAGAGAATGTATATGAGACGAAAAGTAATAATTCATCATTATATTTTCAAGTTGGCAAATCACTAAAACTTTGATCATTTTAAAATTGATTATTATTAATTTCAGTCAACTTTATAGAAGCTCCAGCTTCAATTCTTCTGGTAGAAGTAGCACCTGCGATACCACCGATGACATGTATTCTGATGCTTCATTAGAAGAAGATGTAAACGATCTACAGCATAAGGCAAGTATTTTTCCACACTTTTATACTCTCAAAATAGACATTTCATATTGCATGATAACTTATTGCTGACAGGGAGCTTAGGGAACATAATGGACAGTTTATTTGTGAAACACGCGATACAATATTTTAGCCTTTTTGAATAATTTAAAAATAGGATTCCATTATAATTATGTATTAAAGGAAAGTGAAATGCATCTTCAAGTGGTCTTTTTTTGGAAACAAAATAGCAATTAAAATTAATTGAAGCTTTCAAGTTCCGTTCTAAATTAATCCACCGACGACCGTCGAAATATCCCGACCTAAGCTCTCGTCATTTATCAATTAATTCAAGGAGCTCCTATTCAATGATAACGTAGACGTAATTTTTATTTTATTCACTGCTATCACGCCCTGCATGTCATGTTTATTTTTCGATAAATAGTTCGAACGAAACACAGCCGTGGAATCGTTACATGGATTTTTTCCGCTTATCCAGTTTATTTTAATCATCAGTTTTTTTTTGGCAGTGAAATCTTATGAGTGTCGTAGTAGTGCTTATAGCGAATTCGTTGTGTATGTTATACCTGCAGTGCTTCTGCATTCCTGCATAAGTTAACTTTCTATACAGTGCGATTGCATTTCTTGTTTGGCCACAATTTTATTCAAACAACGTGTTCATATGTTATTTACCCCAAAAGTAGTTAGTAGTAATGAGTTGATTGCTCCTATCAAAATAATGGGCAAAAATGTACCAATTTCCATATAACTAAACCGGCAAAATGTGCGATCAGAATCAAAACAGTGACCAGAGTGACTCGGAAAAAAATGAAGGTGAACCAGATTTGGATTATGACATGTGGGAGGGACAGTTTGAATTTTTAGGGCCAAATGCAAGTTTCGAAAATGTGAACAATAACGATAGCGATAAAGAACTTAAGTATGCCAACGGCCTGAAGAACTACTTTACCAGTATAGCGGAAGATGAAAACTGTGTAGGTTTTTAATAGTTGATATCAGAATCATGCATATGCGGCGAGCTGATAATGCTACATGTTTATTAAAATGAAGTAAATTTTCTCAACTGAGCAAAAATAAAAGTGCTTAGTTTGCATATCTATTGGAAACAATAATTACCATATACTATTAAATAATATGATAAATATTTACATAAATAGATATTTTATTTTTTAGTTTCAAGTACTGCAACACCAAGTAGGCTCACTCCAAGATTCTGCACACCAGAATGACGAAAGATACACCAGAGTAAAAGCAGAAAATGCTGCTCTACAGGCCAGAGTTATAATGTTAGAAGAACAACTGAGAGATACTGAGCTACGGTGCGAAGAAAAAATTCAGGTGAGAATTACCATATGGATTTGGATATTCCTACAATAATTCATATTTTTTTTAGGATGAACAACGCAGATCAAAAGAATTATCTCAAAGAATCGAACGTGAAAAACAGTTACAGCTGGAAAACGCATCGATAAGACTGCATAACGCCGAAGGAGAACGCGAAAAAATGAAAGAAGAAGTGACTCGATATCGGCTAAAACTAGAAAAAATGGAAAAGCAAAAGGATGATCTCATCACCCAATTGCAGGATCTCAATTTTGAACTAAGCGAAGCAAAGGAGGATGCTAAAACTTGTAGAGAAAGAGAAAATAGGTAAAAAATTTTGCTTCAATATAATATACAAATATTTAGAATTTTGTGTTATTTCAGACTGATAAAAGATCACGAATCCCAACAACAGCTCCTAGAAGATCTCTCCAAAGAAATCGAAAGGCTCAAATTGGAACATCGTACGCCTGCTTTATCTAGCACCAGTCCGGAAACTTTGCGGTTGGAGGAGTTGCACGAAGAAATGTCACAGTTGCGTTCGGAAAACTCACAGTTGGTCGAAGCCAATGAGGAGTTACAGGCCAGTTTATTGCATGCCGGTTTAGAGACTGGCAGGATACTCACTAACGGCGAGAATAGTTTGGCTCACGAGTTGGATGTTATGTCACAAGATGAGGTAAAAATCTCGCTTATTTTTCAAGAAATGCTAGTAATGTTTTTGGCGGAAAAGTTCGTTTTTGCTTCTTGGATCAGAGCTGTCAATTATTATCTCTTACCTATCAAATTTTTTTAGTACTTATCCGTCACGTTGTACTAGATTCAAGACGCAATAGTGTATAAAAAAAAACTGTTCAGTATGGGTTGATATTGTCAAGAGATCCAGGCTTTTTGTATCTCTGATGAGTTATCAAGATTGCTGAACCTAAATATCCATTCATGTTCCAATTATTAAAGCTGATTACGCGTTTAGAAGTAAACACGAACAAAGTTATGGAAAAAAAAGAAGGAGTATTTTGGAGACAGTGTGTTATGATTATGAAGCTGAAAACTAACTTGCATATTGTTTTGATAGCTGAAGCTAGTAACGACAGTATTGGTTGATATTGCCAAGAGATCCAGACTGTATCTCTGATGAGAATACCAAGATTGCTGAACCTAAATATTCCTTCATGTTCCAATTATTAAAGTTGATAACGCGTTTAGAAGTACAAGCAAATTTGTCATGGAAAAAAAGAAGTTGGGAAATGTCTCAAAAGCTAACTGAGACTTCTTTCAAGCTGCTTATAGTGCTTTGAAGTTAGATATAAGTAATTTCTAGGATTCCAAACTCTTTAAAATGAATTAGAAAGAATATTTTGGAGCTGTTCACAGTTCACAATGTGTTATGAACTGAAAACTAACTTGCATATTGTTTTGATATTTGAGGAAGCTATAATCAACATTTCCAGATTCTGGGAAATATCTCAAAAGCTTTCTGAGACTTCTTTCAAGCTGTTCATAGTGTTTTGAAGTTAAATAGGCAATTTTCAGTATTCCTAATTCTTGAAAATTATTTAGAAATAATATTTTGGAGCTGTTCACAGTTCACAGTGAGTAGAGTGTTTTCATAGCTATCAGACCAATACCCACCTCTACTACGTAAAAACCCCCCTCCAGTACAGTCATCATACCAGTAGCCACCTTCACTGTGATTGTCAAAAAGCTCCCACCCTAAAATCCCCCACTTTGAGCCTCACCAAAGAAATAATTTTACTGCTATATACCTCACGCTCTTAAGAATCACCAGTCTGGTGGACCATCAATGTGAGCTCTCCAGTCTGGTCTATTGTAATGAATAAAGCAGGGCAACTTAATTTGAAGAAGGAAGCTATTGGAAGTTATTTTTGTAACTTATTCGTAATTTACCCTATGCATTCAAAAGTTCAGAGAGTTTTGCATGTTTCAATAAATAATCCAACAGAATTCTCAATAGTTCTTCGCTTGTAAAATCTGAGAGTAATTTTTCACTATTCATATGAGCTAGAACATTGTCTATAGAGGAACAAAAATTCAATTTTGAGTTTTTTTAGTCTTGGTGGTTGTCAATAGCTCTACTCAACTACCTACTATTTTTGCAATAACTTTGATAGGGTCCTTTAACAATTACGGTTTGCTTTTAATTTTGAATCCTTTCAAAAGCTTCTACATCCCATGGAGTTTAGAACACTATTGATGAATACAAATACAGGAATTGTGTTAAAATTCTTCAGTTTTCAAGAAAGTGAAGGGATATGGAAAGAGGTGCCTGTACAGAGTAGAAGCTTTTTGACGTAGTAGAGGTAGGCATTGCTCTGATAGCTGGAAAAACGTAACGGGGGCACTTGAGCCTGGGAAGTTTTTCGATACCGTGGGAAAATCTCTGGATCGTCGGCGCCTTTGATCTGAAATTTTGGAGATTTGACCCGGGCCAACCCCTAAATTGACTAATACAAATGGAAGAATTGGTTAAATATTCTTTAGTTTTCAAGAAAGTGGAGGGATATAAAAAAGTGCCTTCTCAGGATAGGTAGCTTCACGGAAGGGGGTTTACAGTGGAGGGTATTGGTATGATGGCTGTGCTGGAAGGGGGTTTTTACGTAGTAGAGGTAAGTATTGGCCCGATAGCTGTGAAAACACTGTACTACAGTATCTTATGAAGCTGAAAACTAACTTGCAAAATGTTTTGATATTTGAGGAAGCTATAAACGACATTTCTAGAAACTGGGTAAAGTCCTAAAAGCTACTTGAAACTACTTTCAAGCTGTTTATAGTGTCTTGAAGTTAGATAAGTTTTCAGTATTCCAAGTAGTTTTCAGTATTCCAAAGTCCTGAGAATGATTTGGAAAGATGAGTATTTTGGAGCTGTTCACAGTGTCTTATTAAGCTGAAAACTAACTTGCATATTGTTTTGATAGTTGAAGAAGCTATAAACGACATTTCCAAAAGCTGGGAAGTGTCTCCAAAAGCTATCTGGAATACTACACAGTTTACAGTGTCTTTCCAGACATTTCCGGAAGTTGAGAAAGGTCTCAAAAGCTAACTGAGACTTCTTTCAAGCTGTTTATAGTGTTTTGAAGTTAGATTAGTAATTTCCAGTATTCCAAAATTTTGAATATGATTTAGAAAGAGTATTCTGGAGCTGTTCACCGTTCACAGTGTTTCATAAAGCTGAAAATTAACTTACATATTGTTTTGATAGTTGAGGAAGCTATAAACGACATTTCCAGAAGCTGGGAAATGTCTCAAAAGCTCTCTGAGACTACTCCCAAGCTGTTCAAGCTATAAACGACGAAAAGTGGCAAACAAAATGTTAAAACTTTAGAAACTTATTTGTTGCCTGCAAAGATTGATTCTGGGTAGAGACAATGTCGCTGATTAAGCAATATGTGAGAGAAAACCGTACTTCCCTATAGACCAATTTCGAGAAGTTCACACAGATAGAAGTCCGAAAACACTTAAATCTTTACCATATCGGCTTTTCAAACTTTCCTCTTTGTGATAATTTTCCTATTGCTTGAGGGAAAGGAAAACTGAATTATGGGACTATTGCTTAACAGAAGGAACTGTAATTAATCTTCAAAATCAAAGGTATCATGTTTATCTTCTCTGAATTTTTTAATAAATTTAACCAAGAAGAATTTGTAAAGCCATCACTAATTTCTGCCCAATCTTGCACTGAATACTGAATAGTGTAGAAATTCTTGCAAGGTGGTTATCAGCAACTACAAGTTCTGAATCAGCAAGACAAGTAGGTCTATTCGGGTTTGGAAAAAGGACGGCTCTAGAACGGTTCAAAACAATCGGACAGTTTATCAATCAACAAAATGACAACAACTTGACTATCACAAATTTCAATAATAAACTGTGTAATTGTTTTGAACCGTTCTAGACCCATCCTTTTTCCAAACCCGAATAGGCTAAGAATCAAGCATTTTCAGTGTAACATATGTTCGCGTATTGATTTCTTCATTTTTACTAAGGAAAATTAAATTTCCTTAAATCAAAGAAGGAACTATGAATAAACTTCGATCAGTTTCAGGTTTCAGTAGTGATTGAACTTACTTTTAAAGAAATTTGAAAATATGGAACAGTAGGTATGGCGACACTTGAGCCTGGGAACTTTTTCGATACCGTGGGAAAATTCCCAGATTGTCGGCGTCTTTGATCTGAAACTTCCCTTGAGCGTGGGAACTTTTTTGGTACCGTGGGAAAATTCCCAGATTGTCAGCGGCTTTGATCTGAAATTTCACTTGAGCGTAGGAACTTTTTTTGGTACCGTGAGAAAATCCCCAGATCGGGTGTGCCTTTGATCTTCTGGGGATGGCTCAAATATTTGGGGGGCTTTTCCAGGAACTCGATTGGTGGCATTTTCACACCTCGTAACTTGGTACTTCGTCCAAGGTGCCTCGTACTGATGATGACAAAACTAATAATAAAATCGTCGTTTCGCCATTGGGTCATCGTCGATGTCAGTCACTCGTTACGAGGTGCTATTTGAAAAGACGACGACACTCCGATGATACCCGACAGGTAACGACTGCAGCGATTCAATAACATTATTAACTGCTGTGTGAAGATAACAGCAACTGAGTTCCTGGAAAAGCCCCCCGAATAAATGAGCCACTCCCGAAGATCAAATGGCCGACAATCTGGGAATTTTCTCACGGAACCAAAAAAGTTCCCACGCTCAAATGAAATTTCAGATCAAAGGCGCCGACAATCCGGGAATTTTCCCACGGTATCGAAAAAGTTCCCTGGCTCAAGTGCCGCCATACCTACTTGGAACATTATAGAGACTGCTCTCAAAAAGTTTATTTCAGTTTATAATTTTTATCACGTTTTACATCTTTCATCTCAACATCATCAAAACTAGAAGCCAAGTCAAAAACTAACTTTTCCTATAAAATCCAGTTAACATGAATCTTATACAATGGTGATGGCCGACACTATATAGAATGTATTGCTTAATTTTCCAGGTACAAAAGGCATTGCAAGAACAGCAAGAAGTCAACAGGCAACTTCGAATGTACATCGAAGGAATTTTGCTCAATATTGTCGAAAATCATCCTCAGTTACTCGAAGTGAAACATAGCATCAAAACACAAAGAATGTCCTAAAAAAATTCCAAATTAATCCAACTTTATGATTTAAGCTTGGGCAACAATACTTACTTGCCTATAATAATTATTAAAATGTAAGAAAAACAGGGTTAATTGAAGTAAATAACATGGATGCTTATTGTTTTGTTTAAATGAGAAAATAATCAGTTGGAGGTAAGTCTTAGTAATTAAAAGGAAATAGAAAACGTACACCGTCCTATTTTGAGCAAATGAGATGTGATATCGGCAAGTCACTGTGATTTTTTTGATATAGATTTGATGCAAAAATACTTATAGATATAAATTTTAACAAATTAGTGTTTGTAATAAGATTGGAATTAAAATTAGGGTTTTATATTTATAACAAAGATGATAATAATGTTGAATTTTTATGAAGGGGTGCTCATGAATCACAATGGATGTTAAACAGTGGATGAACATTTTTTTGTAATAATGTTGTGAATATTTCCGCAACTATGATTTCTAAAACCATAAGTCAGAAGTTTAATTCAACAATGTTCATTTTTGCTAGGACTTCTCTTGGAAAAACTCTCGACAGCATATCTACAGATTTTTTTGCATTAGGATGTCATATACAGTTTTTCTCTTTTCGCATTTCTGAATCGTATCCATTTATAGTCCTTCCTGTCAAGTAATATTAGTTTATGTTTCTCAATCTTCGTCTATAAAGATGTTAATAACTCATCAAGGACAATATTGAGATCTGCACCATTACTAGTTGAAGCTATAGACGAGCTTTCAGCTCTGATTGATGTTCAAAATGATATATCCAACTCTATTGGAGATGTGTCTGAATGTTTGGATGTATGTTTTGATGTCTTTTCTTGACATAAACCCCATGCCTTAGTATGGAGTTGACTGCAATGCAATTTCCCACAAAAAGTGGAAAACAAACACCAAAGCTGTTCAAACCTCATTAAGGATTCTGGGCCACTCTATAAAAATTCAGTAATTTTAATCGAATACCTACCTACTTAAACGTTTTTTTAATACTCCAAATTATTAAAATGTTAGTGTGTCTATCCAATCTATGTGAATGTGTTATTTTAATCTCAAATTGTTGAATTGTTGCGTTTATTTTATATTTAATTTATAATAATTATTGTTGTACATATACTGTTGAAAAATAATGTAATTCATATTCTATAAGAGTGTAAAATTTGTAATTATTATTATTTTTTTTCAACCAGAGATGTGCATTTTATGTAAATAATAATTAGGATATGTTTTTAAGTTATTGAATAAATTGAATAAACTTTATTTTATGATAACATAGTGTAATGTTTATTTTTCTTCTAAGGTCCATAGTAGCAGTTGTTCATTGAAAATGTTTGTCCAGTTCAAGTACATTTTGGCAAGCAATAATTATGAATCCGATGTGTTGCTTTAAAACTTTTAAAAGAATTTTTAAACTGCTGAACACTTACGCATACAGATTTTTGAGCAAAACTCAATTTTATCGTTCCGTACATCATAGCTCTATGGTCCTATGATAATTTTACGGCAAGCTTTATCCGGAAAAAAACAGGCTTATTATTTTTTATTATATTCACCCAACAACTATACCTACATATCTTATTACCAAAATCGGTGTGTATAACCATCAAAAATATTAAAATTGTTGATTTTTGGAAGATTTGCAAATACAGAAGTACTCCAGTTATATTAGGCCGGAAAAAGCAGCATCACGCTCTAGCTTGGGATATTTTGATTTAAAAACATTGTGTTTTTTTTTTTGTAGTGAAGAAGCCAACGAGGAAACAGAGACAAAAAAAAACTAAGAAATATCAATGTATAAGTTTGGCAATGAGCGGAGAACCACGCAACTTCCTCTAACAACACCAATCAAAAAATCAAAAAGATCTGTAGGGTCCTTCAATTTCCACGGTTGTTGTAACCGACAAAACTTCATTCCTATTCGACTATGATTTGTTTCCGCGATACTCAAAGAAATATTTTAAGTAAAGCTTGGTATGAAAATAAGAAATCTCAACCGGCAAAAGAACGCCTTTGAATTGTACAATCTTTGACCAAAATTATCAGAAAAGACATTCGCTTCATGACTATTGATTGTCAATCTTATCCTCCTCCCAGTAAAATGTTTCATAATCATGACGAAAACATTCCATAGAGCCTTTCATACTTAATTGAAGAATTAATTCTGAAAAACAGAAAAGGCAAAACTGACCATCTTAAGTGTAAGTGTACCGCTATTTGTCATGTTATTATGGCTACGATACGTCCACGATCCTTCACATCTTACCTTTTCTAGATATTTTGTCAACTCTTGGATTCAGCGCGTCGTATAGAGAAACATTAATGTATGAAGTTGCTGCTGTCTACCATCCACAACCAGATATTCTATCATTTGAAACTGGTGCTCTTATTCAGTATTCAGCAGACAATGCAGCTATCAATGTCTACACAATAGATGATCACAACACGCTTCACATTATGGGGCTTATTAAAATAGTAACACCAAGCAGCGCCGTTGGTTCTGAAGAATCCATGAAGAAATATATCACGATGAACGGTCAACCCATTGGTCGGTACCAAAATAAATGGCCTCTCGGTGAAACGGGGGACGGATGATGACGTAATCTTTACGGTCAGTTGCTGATGCGCAAAAATGTCCCTGCTCGGGCGCCAAATTTGTAACGGGTTTTCCTAGGTTTTTCCCTAGGTTCAGCACCAGTCCCCGGAAGCTTCTAGCGACAAATTCGGAATCGCGTGCCTTAGGGGGGTAGAAACTAGAAAGTATAACTGATCTTTGTCCGTACGTTTAACCAGGACATAGGGATTACGGTTATCCTGCTGGACTTGTCTGTACAGCCGAGACTTGTCCTGATGAGTCTACCCACTAACCAACTCTTATCGGTAAGGGGCGCGGCGTTTCGGAGCCAGAACTGAACGGTACAAATGTTAACACCAAATACATTATGGGCCGATGCTGTGTTTAATGTTAACATTTGTAGGTACGTCGTGGAAGAGGGGACAGATTACGAGAATGAAGATCGCACATCCTACGTCTAAAAGTCACAACAAGAAAGATCATGGATTAGGCCTACAGTAAAATACAATGTAAAAAAAACGCGCCTTGCATCTTACCTCTGGGATGGTGTGGAAACGGGTGCTACCCTCTGTTTAAGTTGCAAACTTTTCAGTGGAAACGGGCCTTTATACAGGGTAGTTCAACAAGCGCGCCTCGGTCAATAGTAGCCAAACCGTTGAACTTATGGAAAAATGTTCTGTATAAAAGTTTTGGCATTTCATCTCTGCTATAACCCAAAATTATTTTCAAGTATACAGGGTGTCTCAAAAAAGAGTAATCACACATTTTATGTTTTTTTTTTTTTTAATGGAATACCGTATGTTTTCATGTGCCAAATGAAGCCTCTATGTGCTCTGTATTCAATTTCAAAATCGTGTTTGGGTTGAATGCAGCGTTGCCAAGTTATGATTTTTCGAGGAAAAAAATGGACCAGTATTCAGACACTCTCGGGCGGTAAATGACACTTACCGCCCTTAATACTTAAATAACTATATTCGTGTCGAAAATATGAAACTTTGAATTTTGTCCAAAAATTTGTATATGTGTAAGTTCGAGTGTCAAGCAGTATAGATTCACACTGTATAATTGCGATTATTGCGAATCTGCACTCATTACTAAATTCTACAAGTAGTGATTGACTACTTATTAGTTTTAACAAACACTGCCAAACATAATATGTTGATTTGAAGTTTGAAGGTGCTTAACTATAAATAAAATTTTTCATCGATGTAGAACATGTTTTGATTCTAAAAACTGGTGCAACAAAATTTTCCGAGGAAACTGAATTATTTTGAAACAAAATAGTTTTATTATAAAGTTATTCCACATATAATTATTGGAAATAGAATAAAGTACCTAAATAATAAATTGAATTTTTGTGTCTATATAGCATTTTATAAAATGAATTTATTTCTATATAGTTATCACTTCCATTATAGGTAAATTACAACATCCTGGAATCTACCTACTTCCCATCATAAATCTGTTTCTGATTTAACAATTTTGTAGCTAAAAATAAGTTGAAAAAAGCTAATAAATGCACAGGAGTGACATCACTTGCAAATAAATGACGAAATCCGGTACGCACCATAAGTACCTACGCGTTATCTGCTGTTTTTCGAAAAAATGCGCGTATGACTCAAGAGTGATAAAATCTATGGGATTTCTGAAAGGAAATGCGCAAAAATTCAACGGAATACCAAAATTCGGACTGCATATACGAATTTTAATAAACAAACATAAGGAGAAATGAAATGCATTTTTTGGGGGGAGGCGCAGTTTTATTTTTATATAACCTCACATCTTGTTCATTTACAGTCGGTGTCGAGGTTTGATTTCACATAGTATGCCGTAACGCGCCCAAGGTACTCACTTTGATAATAGTACTCGCTGGTAGCGCGCTTTTTATTTGAATATATAGTGCCGGTACGAATACTTACCTATTAAGATTTTTTAAAATGATATAATAAATTTAGTGTACATATTATAGTGGTTTTAATTTTAATGTAAAGACATTTTAAAAAGGTAAGTTTTTGGTACTTCAATATTTGATGTTTTTTAAAATTCTATTGACGATTTTTGATTCAGACAGGACCTTATTATGAGACATCCTCCGTATAGCAAATATTAACAATTTTATATTGAAAAAATGCTCAATCCAGTCTGTAAAATCTTCACTCCGAAATTCAATTTTTTTGTTTCCTCACAAAATACCTACCTACCAAACAACAAATTACCATACAAACGACTAATTATTATTATGTCACTTTTGGTTTCACATTTGAACTATATGTAAATTTAATTTTCGTTCCCTTGCCCATAGAACACCCGAATACCATACGGATGACGAATTGAAAACCACTTCAAAATATATGTTAAATTTTTATTGCCCACTCGGATAAAATTCCCAGAAGCAATCCCCGAATTCTTGTGCGCAAAATTTATTAACAACAGTTCCACATTACCCCGATAAGCCGCTCCATTAAAAAAGCTTAACTCTTGACAACTCTGATACAATGATTAAGCGACTTAAATCCCTTACAATGCAAAACGTATAGCAGCAAGTGGGCGCGAAACTGCTGAAATTGAACTTTTATTCGTTTCAAATGGTTGATTTCAGTAATTCAATTTGGAATTTTATAAAATACGACTTACTTTTACCTTATCATTCAGTAGGCATTACATATTATTACTTTCAAAATGATAATTGATTATATCAGAGGTGCGTCGTAGACAGCTGAAGTGTTTTATAAATGTAACATTAAAGAATTATAAAACAAGTAGGTAATCATAGTTCTAATTCGTTATTTTGAATCTTTCAAATGACAAAAGAATTGCTAATACCGCAATTTCGGATAAGGCATTCTACTGATACACAACAGCATTATGAAATATCACATTATCTTTTCAAGATAGGGAGTATATCTTTAAGAGAATAGAGGCTTTTCTCATTTTCCTTTCTCTTCTTTTGCTCCATGATATTTTCCTAATGCTTTCCCAATTCCCGGTCCCTTTTTCAATTTCTTGTTCTTTTGCAAGTTCGATCGTTTCCTGGTCTTTCTCTCTGAGGTCTTTTCCAATGTAGCACTTAAATAAAATAATCAAAATTACATGAAGGAAGGATAAAACAACTAGTTTTAAAGGGAGTCTTTTTTTGCTCTGAAAAAATAATTAAAAACCCTTATCAACTCATGCAAGGGTAGATTACAAGTTCAACAAACTAATGTTTTACGAAATAATCCATACGATGGAACCTAAAAATAAACCCCAACTTACAGTATTTTTGTTTGGGTATTCACGTGTGTCAAGAAAAAAAAAACATTCAGAACTCGTGTAGATTTACAAAACAAAACCCTATTCAAAAAAAAAATCAGAGATTCCAGTCACCTGTAGACAGTAAATTTCGAGCATGCAAAATTTCACATTTCTGACATTATAATTTTGTGTCTGACCATGGTTTCTAAAAATCCAGTCAAAACTGTACAACTTTTGTATTTACAACTTTCTTTTATCTGTAAAGGTAAAGGCTGTAGGTGGGGTGTCAATATATAAAAAAACACCCTGTACAAATAAGTGGATTATTGCAGAACTTTTGGGTGAATCTCTGCGGGACAAGCGCAGCGAGTTCCGCAGCCATCTACTCACCAATATACTGTCGTTGAACTGTTCAAATAAGACACTCACCTGAAACGTGTAGTTTTTAAACTACTGAGAAAAATTCACAACTGAGTGAATTAGGTTAGTATTGTAGTTGAACAACATAATGGTGAATAGATGGCTGGGTCCACCCATAAGTTCCGCAACAATCCACTCGTTTGTACTTGAATAACTTGTCACAATATATTACTAGTTTGGTAAAGTATCCTTACTAATTCCTGTTAAAAGGCCAATTGGCAAAAAGTGGGTAATCTTACAAATTCTGACTTTATATAATAAGTTATTGTTCAAGTACAAATAAGTGGATTGTTGCGAAACTTATGGGTGGACCTCTGCGGGACGAGCGCAGCGAGTTCCGCAGCCATCTACTCACCAATATACTGTTGAACTGTTCAAATAAGATACTCACCTGAAACGTGTACTTTTTAAACTAATAAGAATAACTCACATTCGAGTGAGTCAGGTTACTATCGTACTTGAACAACATATTGGTGAATAGATGGCTGCGGAACTCGCTGCGCTCGTCCCGCAGAGGTCCACCCATAAATTCCGCAACAATTCACTTATTTGTGCTTGAATAACTTGTCACATTATGTTACTAGTTTGGTAAAGTAACATTACTGATTCCTGTTGAAAGGCAAATTGGCAAAAAGTGAATAATCATAATCTTACAAATTTTGACTTCATATAATAAGTTATTGTTCAAGTATAAATAAGTGGATTATTGCGAAATTTATGGGTGGACCTCTGCGGGACGAGCGCAGCAAGTTCCGCAGCCATCTACTCACCAATATACTGTTGAACTATTCAAATAAGACACTCACCTGAAACGTGTACTTTTTGAACTAATAAGAATAACTCACATTTGAGTAAGTCAGGTTACTATCGTATTTGAACAACATATTGGTGAATAGATGGCTGCGGAACTCGCTGCGCTCGTCCCGCAGAGGTCCACCCATAAATTCCGCAACAATTCACCTATTTGTGCTTCAATAACTTGTCACATTATGTTACTAGTTTGGTAAAGTAGTATTACTAATTCCTGTTGAAAGGCAAATTGACAAAAAGTGAATAATCATAATCTTACAAATATTGACTTTATAAGTTATTGTTCAAGTATAAATAAGTGGACTATTGCGGAACTTATGGGTGGACCTATGTGGGACGAGCGCAGCGAGTACCGCAGCCACCTACTCACCAATATACTGTTGAACTATTCAAATAAGACACTCACCTGAAACTTGTAGTTTTTGAACTAATGAGAATAACTGACATTTGAGTGAGTCAGGTTAGTATCGTACTTGAACAACGTATTAAAAGGCAATTGACAAAAAGTGGATGATCCCACAAATTCTGACTTTATATAATAAGTTATTGTTCAAGTACAGGGTGTTTTTTTATATATATTGACACCCCACCTACAGCCTTCACCTTTACAAGTAGATGAAAGGTGTGAATACAAAAGTTGTACAGTATTGGCTAAATTTCTAGAATCCATGGTTAGAAACAAAAATTGAATGTCAGAAATGTGAAATGTTGCACGCTTTCAGCTTTTTTTTTAAATGGGATACCCTATATTTGGTTCTATATTCTTGAAGAGCACAATTTCCCGATTCCAAAAATATATAGTTTATCTATATTTGGTTGAGCCGACTCCAACATATTTGATTTTTAAAATTTTAAAAATACTATCAGAGGAACCAAGACCTCAAATTTTACCTGCAGCTTTCACTTGTATAGGTAGAATGGTTCACAAAATCAGTAGTAGGATAGTATTTTTACAATTTTTGTAGCCGTATATTTGAGAGACTGTTCAATCAAATATAAACAGACTATATATTTTTGGAATCGAGGCATTATGCTCTTCAAGAATATAGAATGAAATATAGGGCATCTCATTTGAAAAAAGCTGGAAGCATGCAAAATTTCACATTTCTGACATTCAAATTTTTTTTTTGGCAATGGTTTCTAAAAATTCAGCCAAAACCGTACAACTTTTGTATCTACACCTTTCGTTTACCTGTAAAGGTTAAACTGCCCCCCCCCTTTTCAAAAAGCCTGTATCCGCCCCTGTATCAGAGGTGCGTCGTGGACAGCTGAAGTTTTTTATAAATGTATCATCAAACATCAAAGAATAATTATAAAACAAGTAATCATAGTTCCAATTCGTTATTTTGAATCTTTCAAATGACGAAGATTTGCTAACACCGGATAAGGCATATTCTACTGATACACATCAACAGGATTAAAAAATATTATATTATCTTTTCATGGATAGAAAGTACAGGGTCGGCGCAAGCGACTTTGGCACCCTAGGCAAAAAAACTATCTGCCGCCCCCTTCAAGTAAAAATAAAAATATGCCTACCTATTTTGAAAAACATGTTTTATAGTTTTAATAATGATTTTACATGATATAGATTATAGAATATCATGTTGAGAAGTTTACCGGCAGTAGTAATTTATTTTTGAGAAAAGAAATCACAGGGATATCGGCCAAAACAGTTATATTCATATCAATATTTTTTTTATATGTTCTACAATTTTTTTTCAACACTTTTTCAATAATTCCATCTATTTAAGTCTTTACGTTTCAATCAATGTTAGTATTTAAATCTTTTATATTTGTATAAATTACCATAATCTTGATAATTGAAGGGTCCTGACGATGAAGTAAAAATACTTTGAAACTTGACGACATACTGATAGTTAACGTAATATAGACTGTTTTGGCCGATATCCCTGTGATTTCTTTCTCAAAAGCAAAAATAGAATATCAACACAAAATATATACATACACATTTGCTCGCCGCAAGCGCCGCCGGAGGCGAATACATTTCTTTTTCTTTTGGTGCCAGGCCCAAAACTTTAATTTTGTTCCAAAAATATTTATAATATAAAATAAGTAGGTAGTTTTTTGCCACCTGGTTGCTCGACCCCTAGTGACTAGCAGAAACAGTTATAGTAGTATATTATGCTCATAAGAAGTACAAAGTTTGTGTTTGGGTTTGCAAGAGAAATGAAATCCTGAACATTATAAAGAAAAGCAGAATTGATAAGAAATATATTTTTTTTGTTGCCTTTTTGCCGCCCCTTTAAGTTTGCCGCCCTAGGCGACCGCCTAGTTCGCCTAATGGTTGCGCCGACCCTGAGAAAGTAGGTATCCTTAAGAGAATAGAGGCTTTCCTGTTTCCTTTCTCTTCTTTTGCTGGGCTCGATATTATTTTCCTTATCTTTTCCCAGTCCCTTTTTCAATTTCCCGTTCTTTTGAAAGTTAGTTCGATGATGGTTTCCTGGTCTTTTCCAATGTAGGTATTTGAATATTTCCCGAACTTTCCTTTCCTCACTCTTTTCCGGCTCTTCTCCTTA